ATTTTAATCAGCATTGATATTGGTTGTTTTTATTGATATAGAAGTAACGAAAGACATGCTACCTATAAGAAAAAACACAATAATAACTTTAACTCAGTGACCGATCAAACAAACAACAATACGCATTATGCACGACGAGTCACCACAAACTCTTAACCACCTCCGACCACTGCAACAACAAACTACCAAAAGAGAAGCTCGATGCCAAACTCGTGAGCCACACAACTAAAGGTCTACTTGGTACCAATATAACCACTGATTTAGTGATATGTAGAGCCAATCGTTGCCGCGACATTTGATCCCGCCCTCAATTTACGTGCAAGTTATTGTGAAGACCTAAGTTGTAGCCCTTTGTTGTCAGAAGCACACTAAGAAGACCGCGTCATGCATGACTCTTCGTCATAGTGCACTGTAGCACCATGCTCTAATCAACGGAAAGATCCCACTAGATCTAGACATTTCTAAGATTGTCTCATAAAATGACTACAAAACACACAATAATTGGGGGCATAGCACGTACGACGTTAGACTCCACACCTCGCTCTCGCCACCACAAAGGAAACATCACATAGAGCCTCACCACATATGCTGCTGGACTCCAAGTCACTGATCTGCTTTCTTTATTGCCATCAAGAGGGGCCATTATTGTTTGAGTTTGCAATTGGCAAATGATCTTTGTACAATCGGTAGCTCAATCAAACATCTAGGTTTCAACAAAACTACAACAACCAATCAAAGGTATGGATACAAACATGAGTAGTCTCAGCGATATAGTCCTTAGATTCTTCTATATATTCTTTTTTCTATTTGAAAACAAAGATGTTTTCGCCGTTTGTAGCTCAAACAAACTTATCCGCCGTTCAATAAGGTTCAATAAGGTTGCGAGTCACTATCAATGCAAGATATTTGCAAGCTCAACAATTCATGGTCCACCAACTAGAGGGAATTTAGCTTTATTCCATAAACTTGATCCAAAATGGTGATTGGCAACAATTCAATTTTATTAGCGCCTTTTATATATATGTGATGAAAAAATTGGGGAAAAAAGAGTAAACGTAAAAATAGTAGTATCTCGAAGCATCACAGTTGAAGCAAACAATTGTACAAAAAAGCAACGGACACATAAATAAATTATGTACCATAGGTTATTAATAAATTATTATATTTTTGAAAACTTTTAAGAGATTATTAAATACAAAATTCATATAGGCTTATATTGGAGGTTTACGCTTTGCTTCATCGAACGTGTAATAATTCAGAAATTCACGTGTTCTTCTGTCCTGGGCTCCTGGGGAAGTAATCCTCAACTACCGGGCCCACCCGACAGTGACAGGGGAACACACGACACAAGGCTACCTTCCCTCCGCTCCAATCGCCCGCCCTGCACGGCCGCACCGCCGCCGCCGCCGGCAATGGCGTGGCTGCGCGCTCCATCACCAACTCCTCCTCGCTACCGAGGAAGAATCCGAAGCAAGCGACCCGGGCCCTCGGCCTCCCCGGGTCAACCTTCCCCCGCGCGGCGTCCGCGAGGACCTCTCCGAGCTCACCGGCGCGCTCGCGAACCGCTTCCAGGGTCTCGCCTCCTTCCTCGCGCCCGCGGCGCCTGGAGGCGGAGGCGCCCTGCGCCGGCCGGACCGGCCGAGATCGCGGGGCCGGTTCCGCGCAGGCCTCGCGCGGCTCCCGGGCCGCCAGGCCGTAGCGGATCTCGCCAAGATCGCGTCCTCGCTGCTGCCCCCTGAGGGCGACGCGGACTGGGCGGAGGCGGCAGCGGGGGTCACCTGAAGAGGTGGTCGCGTTCGCGCGGGACGCGGCCTCGCGGCCCGAGCTGTGGCTCGACTTCCCTCCTCCCCGACGACGCCGACCTCCGATGGTTCGTGCTATCCTTTCTTGCCTCCCCAGACGCTCTTCTTCATTGGTCTCAGTTAAGATGAACTAATTCTCAGTTGCATTGTTGACTTGGAGCGCAGATTTTGACATGACTGATGCGCAGCAAGATCATGCCCTGGCCGTGGAAAGCTTGGCGCCCGAGCTTGCTGATCTGAGAATCGAGCTCTGCCCCAGCCACATGAGCGAGGGCTGCTTCTGGAAGATATACTTCGTGCTGCTGCATCCTAAGCTCAGGAAGGATGATGCCGAGATTTTATCCACTGCACAGGTGATTTTCCTTGACATCTTAAGTTCAACACTTGAATGAGTTAGTAATACAAGTTCACTAGTAAGTACCTGAGGATTTTCCTTCATGCTAGTTAACTAAGTTAGTTGTCTTTGATGATTCAGTAGTAAGTTCACCTTGTACCAATATCAGCCTAAAATTTGTTAGCTGAGGTGAGTAAAGGAATGTGAATAAGATGCAGAGGATCAGATTAGTTGTTAAATTGAGACTGTATTGTGTTTCACATTTTGATATCTGCTACATTGTATTTGGAATCATGGAAGATTGCGGCGACAAGAAACTTAAGTGCTTGTGATTGCTTTGCACTTTGATTTGCTATATCTTGCACCAAAGGTTTTGTGTCCTGGTAAGGCAATCATGCTTGTTCTGCGATAGTATGCATGAGAATATGGTCAAAATGTACATAAGCAATTTGTGTTTTTACCAAAAAAAAAAAACTTCGCATCATAGTTATGGTTTCAGAATGAGTGAGCGATCTGTGCAAGGCCAGGCACTTGCATTCTTCAAATGAAATGACGTACTGTTTGAGTAAAATGGTCCATATATCATTGCCATATTTATGTTGTCCCCTCTTTACATTACCTAATGTTCCATCTGATACTTGATCATTAGTTTGACACTTTGACCTCACTCTGGAATTTGATTTCAAAACATTAATTTCTTCGATTTTAAAAAATCATAAAAATATTTTGGTTAATCATAGCCTCATGCGGCACACTTATGCACATTCTCAAGCTTTGTGCTTCTGTGCCTGCCATGGAACCTATCCTTTTTGTTGGATAAGATCATGAAGCCTTTACTTATCTCAAAGTGTCACAAATGCGGTGGATTAATAATCCGAATCCAACACCTCATTCATGTCATCTAAGATAGTGAAACCTTCCTACATTCCCTTCCTCCTGCCTAAAAGTGAAACTAATTTGCATTCTTTTCTTTTCTTTTCTTTTCTTTTTTTGCTTCCTTTGCTCTTCCAAGGGAGTGGAGTTAAATCACATTGCACTAGGCCAACAGTTTGAAATTGGCTCACCATAATTTATAGCTAAATTGATTCATTGCGATTGTTATCCTCCCTGGCATCTATGCTTTAGATATTGATATATTGACAGAAAGCCTAATATTTCTGATGCTTTAGTAGTTTCTATTAAATTTTCTTTCTTGCAAGTCATGATAGGTTAGCCATCCAAATACATCCCTAGTTTTGAATGGGACTAGCTTGTTCTGGACAGTTCAAGTGGTTCGTTATATTCTACTAATTTTCTATAATAACTGAGTGCTTTGTCCAGTTTTATTTGTTACTGTATTTCTATCGATTCAGTTTCTTCCTTAGCCCAATTTTGTTCCAGAATGATGCTTTGCATGAGTCTGAACTCTGAAGTGTGATATTATAAAGTGAATAGAGGAAACATGTCAAATAGCAAAAAAGTCAGAATTAGCCATCAAGTGAATATTGACTCAACAAAAGCCATGGCCCATGGGACATAAAGTGCAATATGACAAAAATGATTAGCTCCTTTGTTTGAATAATTCATTACACTTTTTAGCCCTCAGATGCATGCATGAGTCTTGAGAGGCAGATATATTGACAGAACATCATTTTCCATAGGCTCTCAATGCTTTAGTAGTTTCTGCTGATGATTTTGCTTTCTTACTGGTTATGATGCATCAACAGACCTTTTTATTTGTGCTGACTGCACAAAAGATAAGCTGGTATCTGCCAGCTCAAGACATTGTTTGCTAGCAGACTTCTTATCAGTTCCTGATTGCCTTGGCACAGATTTTGGACGCTAGAGACAAGTTGTCACACGATTTTCAGTATCGGACGAAGTTACAAGGCAGCTATGGAGACACCGTACCTGTGCCTTTCAGCAATGAAGATGGTGTGTTAGGGTTCTCCTGTAGAGGTTTTGGGTGTATTGAAGGGCCAAGATGACTCATGATGCTCACATCTTTTAGCAACATAGACTATGGCAAGCCACAACCAATCAAACAGGATATTCTATCAAATGATACAATCAGCGAGACTGGAGCTGTTTCTTCAAACAATATCAGCAGCAGTGTACCTGTACTGCTAGTGCCCCATATCGAAAGACACTGCCGTGGTCACACCATCTAGGATGGAAGAAAGCACGCACTGTCTCTACAGAAGATGCAGCAAAAAGAAGAACATAGTGCGCAAAATGTCTGAGATACCATTGACGGACAACTCTCCCCTAAAATGATCAGCTGAAACAACCACTGGCTGACATCAGTGAGCAATCAAGAGTTGACATTCAGAAAACTGATAATGTTGAGGATGGCGACATGGTCAAGATGACGATGGGGATGAATGGCTGGAAGAGGAGACAGGTGACCCAGGAAACACAAAAATTCAATAGCAGATGATGAAGATGTGTCTTTCAGTGATCTGGAGGAAGGCGACGATGCAGCCTGACATCACTAGCAGGTTTGATCGTACTGCTTAATTTGTGCTTCCTATTCCATTATGCGATTCGATACAATGGCCCTGTTAAACATTGTTTTATGAGCCATACTATTTCAGTGAAGCTAACGGTGTTTTTTCTCACAATAAATCGATGAAGCGAGACTTTCAGCCATGGCTTTTCAGCAAAGCGAACAGGGCCATCCTGGTTGATGTCCAATATGTGGTCTCATGGGGATTTTGTGATCCACTCCCACTGTTTCAGAATTTGTGTCACTTCTGTCGTGACAATCATGGGTTTCCACGAGTCATCCCTTTTCACTTTTCAGGTTGGAAATTACTGATCCAATCATGTAGTATTAGTGAAAGTTGTATAGTGTGTACAGTCTAGGTTGTTCGATTGTTTGACTCAGTGCTCTGATTTCTCCAACATGTACCCCTGAACAATGCTGGTGACGACCAATTTGGCTATGTTATAGACTTATAGTTGGGGCAAGTATTCTCAGCTCCCACACACAGTGACACAGAATAGAAAAGGCAAATATTATTATATTATTATTTTGGAAACTAATGCGACCTACAAAACATAACTTGACCGATAGCAATGTTATTATTTATATACAGAACATAATATAATTGTACTATTATGAAACTGCTTTTATGATGATTTGACCCATATTGTATAACTCAATATTATACACTATTACCAGTCGTTTAGGATAAGTTTTGGTCAAACCATAAAGCCTACAAACATTAGCAACTTAACAGATGCCAAAACGTGTTTTCATCCAACATGAGTGAGTATATATCGTCAAAATCTGAATCCGACAAAGCTTGATGTATGATGAAATGATATATACAGAAGTATCCAAATTCATAAGTGACCTAGTAAACGAGAACAACCAGAAATTAGGCCAAGTTTGGCGAAGCACCAGAAATTCTGGCAGAACGAAGCATCTTTTTCCTAGTTTTAATTTAACTTGTAACCAATTAAATTAAAAATCTTGCGGCGGCGAAACCATTATTGGCCGGAGCGCACTTTTGATGGGTAGCTAAACGAAGCTGGACGCTGAATTAGATGCGCTTGATCGATCCAGCGATCAGCAAGTTGGATTGGCATCGGAAACAAAACAAAATAAAATGAATTAGGTGAGGCCGGCATAGACGTCAGGTCTGGGGTCTACCTCGTTGTCCACTCATGAGGTCATAAGTCAACTCGTACCATGCATGAACATGGCACATGGGACATGGAGTACAACAGTCACGGGATTGTACTGCTGCTGCTGCTGCTTGTTGCCTGCATTTTAATGGCAGCTTTGTTTTGTGGCATCAGATGGATGCTGAGAAGATATCTTTATGGCGTCGAGCTAGGGAGGATGTGCTTGATTATTGATGGTTTGTTCTTCCATGGTTCGATCTGTTACCATTGAGCCTGGACATTTCAATTTGGGAATGTTGATTCCGGTTCAAATTTGTGTAAGGCCCCCCGAAAGGCTAGTTAACAACATGTTGACATACTTACGAACTATCGTACCACTCATTGATACATATACACCATTTCGATCTTTCGGAAAAAGATGCATACACAATTTCGTATATCAAAATTGGGATTGGCTGTGTGCTTGTTCGACTTCTATCTCAATGCATGTTTGGTATAGTGGGACCAAACATTGCCATGTGTGTTGTAGCAGAGAAGGCCAAGCGGCCGGCCTGCAACGACTAGATCGTAGATCCCTTTGCCGTGTTCCTAGTTCCTACTCAAGAGTCAAGAGAGTCAGCAGGAGTAGGGCCTCGATCCTGCCCGGCCAGGCAACTGCTAGACAAGAAATTAACAACGAAGCAGCAAGTTCGTTCGTTCACCAACTGCAAATAAGCTCGTACAGCACAGTCGACAACACCAATAATCAACTGAACCAGTTCAAAAGAAAAGCTTACATTACATACATCTGAGCTCATACACCAATGTAATCGACAATGGATGGGAAGGTTGGCATCTCTACAATGATAATACGGCGGAGCTACACCGTGCATTCAGATCAATGCAATCTGAGGTGTGCTAGCTAGCTAGCTAGTAGCTGCTACTGCGAGCTCTACCTAGCTAGCTAGTTGTGGCCTCCTCCCTGGGTGTAGATGTAGTCCGTGTGCGCCACCAGCGTCCTCCTCATCAGGCACTCCTCGACGTCCTCTCCTTCTCCCCATCCGCCACCGCCGCCGCACCGCTCGTCGCCCCCTGCGAAGCTCGTCGCCTTCTCCTCGTACACCTAATATAATATTGCACGTGATAAAATGCTAATAACATGCATGTATTTTGCTCGACGCCATGACTGTGCGCGAAGCATAAGCTAGCTAGCTAGGCTGGCTGGTAATAGGAGGCTTAATTTAACTCACCACATCTCCATACTGCTCTGGGCTTCTCGAGCTCGCTTCAGCCGGCGCTGCTACTCTGGCTGCGGCGGCGTGGCCGGCGACGACGACGGAGAGGAGGAGGAGGAGAGACACTAGCAGCAGCGGTCGTAGGGCGGCTCGCCGTGGTTGTGGCGATGATGATGGCGCCGCCGCCATGGATGCAACCTGCAGGGATTCTTGATGTTATATGCTGTACCTTGGCGTGGGTGCGTGGCGGATATGGCCTGCTGGTGCTCTTGTTGGGCAGAGGGCCGGGAGAGAGTGTTAGTTGGGAGGCGTTGGTTTGGAGTTGAGGAAGGCCAGGTAGCGCGGGCCTTAAATACAGGAAGCCCATCGATCGACCGGCCGCATAAATGTAGCAGGTGGGTGTGGGTCGCTGACTCGCTGTACGCCTCTAGCCTGTGGGCGTTCTCCGCCGGGTTCGCTTGAACTATTTTTCAATGAACGGACAATTTTCTCCTCTTACAATAAATTTCAGCGAAAAAAACAGGGCCTCAATTCAGTGACGAATTCAGATGATGCAGGTTGCAGGTCGTCTTTAATTTGGTTGGCTTTATATAGGTTCCTAAACTCTTAAAATATATATCCAGAATTCTAGATACATAAATTAGATTCACGCTCACAGGTTCATACTTGATCACAACTAGAAAACCACAGACAATGTTTTCCTCTTACAACAAATTTCAAATGAAATGAATAGGGCCTCAATTCAAGTGTCGAATTCTTCTCGATTCGATGATGCAGGTTGCATGGCGTCTTTAATTTGGTTGGCTTTATATAGGTTCCTAAACTCTTAAAATATATATCCGAATTCTAGATACATAAATTAGATTCACGCTCCACAGAGTTCAAACTTGATCACAACTAGAAAACCATGTATAATGTTTTCTCTCATGCAACAAATTTCAATTGAAATGAATAGGGCCTCAATTCAGTGTTGAATTCTTCTCGTTCAGATGATGCAGGTTGCAGGGCGTCTTTAATTTGGTTGGATTTATATATGTTCCTAAACTCTTAAAATATATATTCATAATTCTAGATACATAAATTAGATTCACGCTCACAGGTTCAAACTTGATCACAACTAGAAAACCACAGGATGATCAAAATCAAAATAGAGTGACATGAGCATACCATTAACTCAGAGTGACAGAGTTATTAGAGGGTGTTTGGTAGGGCTCCCGACGAACCGGAGCCATGTCTCCTCCAAAACCCTTACTAGCGTCAGTGCTGGTTCCGTAGCAAGTTTGAAAAGACTTGATGACTTGACGTGCCGATGTATGTTGGTGCGATGATGATGAGATTTGTTAATGGCTGCTTGAGGTACGTAGAAGTGGCCCTACTAGACATGTGAAGAATTATGATAAACATGATGATGGTTTACAGTACAAAAGGCAATTATGGATTCAAAAGAGATTTAAAAGACCATAAAAGAATTTTCAAACATATAAGAGGACCAAAGAACTACCGTGACAGATTTGCATATAGTAGTAATTTTATCTAAAGATGGAGCTCACCATAGAAAACTAAAAGGGACCTTGATTTAGGCTCATAGATAATTAATTATATAGCGATTGGGTAGGAGTGAAAAAAGAAGAGAAACGACAAACGATGGCAGCGAAGAAATTAGTCGATGATAGTTATATAGAATTAATTCTGATGCATACAGCGGAGACAAACAAAGAGAGGAAAGTTATAATTAAAAACAAACAAAACTATTTAAAAATATTCTCAACTAAAAAAAATTAATAAAACTTACCAGTGATATTTATGCGGAAATTTGTTTTTGTTTTTTTTAGTATTTTGCTATATATCTATACTGTATTTTATAGCTAACTAGATATATGCTTATGCATTGCACGGGACAATGATTTTTTGTCCACATCTATTGTGGCCAAGAGATATTTTTCATGAGCGCCCATTAACCTATGTTGTTGCAGAACCAGAACTGCAAGCATTGTTCCTTTCTGAAAACAAGACACAACTTAGCATGCTCCCACTTATCAGCCACATAGTAGGATTTGTCTGCGGGGAATGAAGCACCGACGGGCAATGCTTCCTCTTCCGTATGCGATGATGGTGCCCGCGACGCCGTCGCCAGATGCGCTGCTACCTCTCAGCACGGCGTTGCAGGCGCTACTGCGTCCCGACGGGCGCCGCCGCCCGACGCGATCACCCTTGTGAGAACCATGAAGCCCGTGCGACGATGTACATGGCGAGTTCGAGCCCATCGCAGCTAGCCACGAGATAGTAGTTGGCGACGTACCGGCTTCACACGGCACAAGCACCTCTCTGGCTGTGCTTCCATTTGTAGGAGGGCGTAGTCGACGTGGACTCTGCAGACATGAGTGGAGGCGAGCAGACAATCCCAATATGATTTCGGTGAGACATGGGTGGATGTGGAGATTGAATTTGCAAGCGACAATAACTCTTTAACCTTTTGGGCCTGTAGTGATTGTTTTGTTTTTGAATTAACTAACAGTTTGCCCGCACGTGATTGCTTTGTTTTGAGCCTGTACGTGATTGCTTTGGGTGAGTTAGCTGCGTCCGTTTAAAT